GATCTTCCTCTCTGTCTCTCCTCCTCTCTATATATCTGACTTTGTAATAAAAATAAATAAATCTTAAACAAAAAAAAAGAGAGAGAGATTGATCCTCCATCTGCTGACTTGCTCCCCAAATGGCTGCAAAGACCAGTGCTAGGCAGTCCCAGAGCTGGGAGCCAGGAGTTTCTTCTGAGTCTCCCATCTGGGTGCAGAGACCTAAGGCCTTGGGCCATTGTCTGGTGCATTCTCAGGCTGGAAGAAGTGGAAAAGGCAGAGAATTAGTGTGCTATGCCACTGCAATACTCCCACAAATTGCGGGTTTTTGTAAAAGATGTACTTGTTTTTACTAGATAGGCAGACACACAGAGGAAGAAGAGTCAGGGAGAAAGATTCTCTGTCTGTTGGTTCACTCCCCAAGTGACTGCAATGTCCAGAGCTGAGCTGGTCCAAAGCCAGGAGCCTGGAGCCTCTTCCCAGTCTCCCACGCAGGGGCAGGGTCCCAAGGCCTTGGACCATCCTTTACTGCTTTCCCAGCCCACAAGCAGGGAGCTGGCTGGGAAGTGGGGTTGCCAGGACTTGAACTGGTACCCATATGAGATCCTGGCATGTACAAGCTGAGGACTTTAGCCACTAAGCTACTATGCCAGGCCCCCACAAATTGCAGCTTTTAAAAAGCTGACAACTACCTGCCTGACAAATCTATACATTTTTCTGCTCTTTTTTTTCCCTACTTGCTCTTTGATAATTTTTCATGGGATTATGTTTTCTGTGAGTCTTTTAACAGGATCACTATTTTTGGTTGATAATTTAGGAAAATTCTCTCTCATGCCTGTCATACTCTCATGCTTACCATTTCTTCTTATCAATGTTGATAAAACCACAGCCAAGCTTCTTTCATACATATAGTGTAAAATTTTGGAGCCTTTGAATTTGTAATGATTAATGTCACATAGCATGAACTGATGGTATGAGATGTGGCAGGCAAGGACGTAGCACAATGGTTAAACTGCTGCTAGGAAAACCTACATCGCAGGGAGCAGTGCTCATCTGCTTCTAATCCAGCTTCCTGCTGGTGTACACTCTGGAGAGGAGCAGTGCTGATTCAGAGGCTTAGATCCTTTTAGCTGCCGAAGTGAGCATGATAGCTAAATCACTGACACCTTCATGGGAAACCTGAATTAAGCGCTGGGCTTCTGGCTCAGCTGTAGCTGTTTGAGTATTTGGGAAGTGAATCAGCAGTTGGAAAGTTGGAAGATGTCCACCTTTCAAGTAAAAATAGAAATAAATCAATACGGGCAGGGCCCAGCGTGTTGGCTTAGTGGCTAAATCCTCCCCTTTCATGCACCGGCATCCCATATGGGTGATGGTTTGTACCCCAGCTGCTCTGTTTCCCTTCTTGCTCCCTCTTGTTGCCTGGGAAAGCAGTAGAGGATGGCCCCATAGCTTTGGAACCCCACACCTGGATGGGAGACCAAGAAGCTTCTTGGCTTGCAATTGGCTCAGCTTGGGTCATTGCAGTCACTTGAGAAGTGAACCAGTGGGTGGAAAACCTTTCTCTCTGTATCTCCTTCTCTCTGTGTATCTGCTTTTCCAATTAAAATAACAATAATTAAAAAAACAAATAAAAATCCAAAATCAACTGCATTGTCAAATTTAAAAACAAAAATCAATACAGGTAGGTGTTTGGTTCAGAGGTTAAAATCCCTGCCTGGGCCACTCTCCTGGTAGAGAGCAGTGCCTGCTTTGAGTCCCAGCTCCTCTAGACTTTTTCACTTCAGATCCAGCTTCCTAATAATGTCCACGCTAGGAGAAAGCAGGTGATGATGGCTTAAGTCCTTGAGTTGCCACCAGCCCAGATTGAGTTCTGGGTTCCCAGCTATGGTGTTTAGCTCCCAATCCTGGCTGATGCATGCATTATCAGGAGTGATCCGGTAGCTGGGAGATATGTCTCAGGGCTACACAGACTGGGTCAGTGCTGAATTTGTTTTCTCATTTCTGGAGCCTAGAAATTGAAGGCCACAGCTTTGGCAGAGTTGATGTCATCCTGTCCTTCACTGGCAGACAGCTGTCTTTTCCTGGACTCTTCTTTGCACTGGCACGTCTGTGTCCAGACTGCCTCCAGTAAGGACAGGTCATATTGCCTCATTTTAACTTAATTACCTCTAGGAACAACTTAACATCACATAAAGTTACATTCTGAACTACTGGGGGTTAGAACTTTAACCACAAGTTGTGAGGGACACACAGCTCCATTCATAACACTGTATCCACACGGGGAAAATTCATTCACAGAAATTATCAGGAAACACATAGCATACATACTAATCCCCGTCTACATGTGATGCCTACCCAGCTTCCTTCACCAAACCCCAAATACCCCATGACCTCTCTCCACTGACACCCGAGAAAGGTCAGTTCAGGAAAAAGACACCAATCAATTCCAGTTTTTGCTTTTCTTTTTTCCTCCAAGTTTTATAAAAACCTGTGACCATGCTGGCATGTTGCTGTGGCTCCTCCATGGCAGGAGTCTGGGAAGGAAGAGGGAGCAAGCATGAATGTGCCTTAGGTCAGCCCTGCGGGATGGGAGTCCCACTCAGGCAGTGCAACTTGCCTTCCCAGGCTTCAACATCGCTCTCTGGAAGGGCCAGGAGAGTTGCTGTCCTGCTCGTTGTCAGCCTAGACCTGTCTGTCTTCCTCGCCCAGTCCACTCCATGTTCTAGACCTGGGATTAGGAACGTTTTATGTACCAAAGGCCATTTGCATATTTTTAACATCATTTGTGGGCCATACAAAATGATCAACTTAAGAATTCAATGGATTCATTGAATTTTTGAGTTTTAGGTGCTATTGTCTTGGCAGGGCGCCAGAGCAAACCATGTTGGGCCTTACATGGCCCATGGGCCAGACATTCAGCACTTGTCTAGACCAATATATAATTTATATGGAGGTTTTAGCCTATATGTTTTTTTAAGATTTACTTTTACTTGAAAAGTAGAGTTAACAGAGGACAGAGATCTTCCATCCGCTGGCTCATTCCTCAAATAGCCACAGCTGCTCTGAAGCTAACAGCCAGGGGCTTCTTCTAGGTCTCCCATGTGGGTGCAGGGCCTCCAAAACTTGGGCCATCCAATGCTGTTTTTCCAGGCCACCAGCAGGGAACTGGATCACAAGTGGAGCAGCCACGACAGGAACCTGCACCCATATGCAGTCCCAGCGCCACATGTGTAGGTGTAAACCTTTAAGGCTATTCTTTGGCTCTAAGCAGGGGAGTTTGTTATAGAAGAAATGTGGAGTCCCCCTCCTCCTCAGTTCACTTCTGCTCTCCACTCCTGACTCTTGGGAGTGTCTTTTCAGAGAAGAAAGGTGATGAGTTATCCACCTTTTAGAATTCCAAGCCCAGGCTACTGCACCTGCGACCTGCTGAATTACCAGCTGAGTTCCTGCAGACGAACCTGCCCAGCCTTCCTGCTACACAAGCATGGATTCTTCCCAGTCAATTCTGTCTCTCAGATTATGGGAGCTGCTCATACTTTCCCATCCCTTTCTCCCCTCATCACGTACATACCAGTGCACAGTCAGGGGGTGGAAAAAGTTGGTGTCTACCAACCACCAGCCTGGGGGACTCAACATTTCTTTCTTTCTCTTTTAAAAGATTTGTTTTCATTACAAAGTCAGATATACAGAGAGGAGGAGAGACAGAGAAAATTTTCCTCACTCCCCAAGTGATCGCAGCGGCTGCTGCTGTGCCGATGCGGAGCCAGGAGCCAGGAACTTCCTCCAGGTCTCCCACCTGGGTGCAGGGGGGTCCCAAAGCTTTGGGCCTTCCTTGACTGCTTTCCCAGGCCACAAGCAGGGAGATGGATGGGAAGTGGAGCGGGATTAGAACTGACACTCACAAACGACGGCGCCCATATACGATCCAGCGCGTTCAAGGAGAGGACTTTAGCCATTAGGCCACTGCCCCGGCCCCGGATTCAACATTTCTAATCTGGCAACCCTGAGAGAGGGAGAGCTAGGCCTTGGGGTGGAGCAAGCAAGAAGGGAACAGAGGAGTCGGAGTTAGGTGGGGCTGTGAGGCGCGAAAACAGGAAGGAAAGCCAAGTTGCTAGGACAAATTGTAACAACATAAAGCTGCCAATGAAGTGACGAAGTAGACAAGATTATTTTTAAAAGACCAACATAAGAACACAAGAGTCACTTCAGCAAGTATCGTTTGAAAGTTTTAGAAGATGGCAAATCTCTCCCGCTCGCTCGCTCGCTCGTGTTCTCTCTCTCTCTCTCTCTCTCACACACACACACACACACACACACACATATATCTTGGGCCGGAAACTTCCTGCAGTGTGGGACACTGCATCACTGCCAAGTCCACTTCCCCATCGTCCTCTTTTCCAACAGTGAAAACCATGGGCCCCCAAATCTGAGACGGAGATTTGGGTCCGCTTCACCAGAGGGCAGGCCAGGTGACCGTCCCAGCAGGTCATGTTTGGGGCCACCTCCCTCCTCCTTGTGATTCCAGTTTGGCCCTAAGCTCCTCCGTCTCTCCAGGTGGTCAAACACCTGATCCACCTCACCAGTTCCCGGCGGCTGTGCCAGCTGGGCTGAGGCGGGCGACGCTCTCGGGAAAGGACGCGGAGCGATGCCCCTCTAGGAGCAGACTGGAGCGGAACGCTCAGCAAAGAGCCCAGTCTCTCGGGGGAGGGACACGGTCCGGTGTCCTCGCAAGGTCCGGCGCTGATAGGTCGAGGGCAAAGAGGAGGTACCGTTTGCTGGGACATCTTCCCTGCCCCATACACACCCAATAGCTGACCCCGGCCAAGGATTACGCAGCCTATAGCAGTCTTCAGGCGAGACGAACGCAGCCAATGGCTGGCCCGGCGCATTCCGCAGGTGCCCGCCTTCCTGCGTCCACCATTCACGCCTCGGGCCCCCCAGGCACCGCCCCTCCCGAGCGTCCCGCCTCCAAGTCGCTCCGGCCGAGGTGGGCTGGAGGGGCGTGCTCTCGGGGGACTGGGGGCAGTCCGGGTCCTGGCCCGCCGCGCCGGTGGCCTCGGAGCAGGCCGACCGGGCGAGGTACCCCACTCTCACCTGGAGGCCCCTGCCCTTATTTTCCCCCTTCCCGCCGGCCCATGGTGCGAGGCTGGGAGCCGCCGCCCGGGTCGGACCGCGGTGAGTGATCCCCAGCCCCTAGGCCTTCCCCCCGCTCGCTGCCCCGCTACCTATTTGCTACCTCGGTGCTGGGAGGGCGTGGGGAGAGGGTGGAGGGAGGAGGAGAATTCTTGGGTGGAATCACCCGGTTCGTTCTCCTTTCTCCTCTGGACTTTTCGGTTCCCTGTTATGAGGGAGGGGAGGGTGTAGGGAGGAGAAACCGGGTTGGGACGTCCTTGGGGTGAGGGGAAGTCGCCGACCTCCCGGGGCTCATCGATTGCAGCAACTTTTTGTTCTCTGACCCAGTTTAGAGCCTTCTAGTCTGCCTGTGAAATGGAGGATACAGGATCGTTTCCTTCTCCTCCGCCCCCCCATCCCCATGACTACCTCCTGGCGACCTCGGCACACCCACAGAAACGGCCCGTGGGAAAGGTTGAGGGGGAAAAAAAATCAGGAAACCAAACAGGCGGCTCCCAAACCAAACAGAGGTTCCTGGTGTGACTCGAGCTGAGACCCGCTTGGTGGTAATGTGGGCCCAGTCCCATCAAGAGAGCTTTTGGAGCCTATGGATCTGCTCCCGTTGCGTTGCAAGCCCTTGTACAGTCCCTGATTAGCACATGTAGATAGTAATACTCGAGAAACTCACCCAAAATCAAAGATATTAAAACAAATGATGACTGCGTTGTATTTAAAAAGGACACCTATCAATACTTGGGTGTAGCCTTGAGAACTGTGTGTGACAATTGAGGTTTCCAAGTTATCTTTCTAGTATTGTAACTACACAGGGGTTTCTCAACCCTTCCCTACTCTTCCCTCATCTTGCAAACTTAAAAATGAGGGATGCCCAGGCCCCCAGTCCGGACCAATAATCACATCCACTGTAGGGGAGAGGAGGGCCTGGTTGCTGTTCCCAGGTCATGCCAGTGTGCTGTCTGCTCAAACGCTGTCCTCAGCTCTGGTTTCCAGGTTGGCCTTCCTGAAAGCGAAGTGAGCTCTAAATGCTCACTTTGGAATCAATCCCGCTGAGACTTGGGAAGGGTTCTTTTCCCAGGCCCTTCCTCCTGTCTTGCCCTGTGCTGATCCAACCATTGTGTCAATGTCTTTGTCCCAGTGTCTCTCCAGAGCATCTGACTTTCATGGGAACAGTTTACAGTGCATTAATTTTTCAGAGATTTTTGTCATATCAGATGATATTATGAAGCAGCAAAAACACAGGTGTTAGCAGTTTTGGAAGCACAGAACTGGCCCCAGCACACGGGATGGCTGAATAAAGCAGACAAGGAGGGCTGCCTCCCAGTGTCTAGTACCAGGGCCCTGTGAGTATTGACCAGGTATCCTAGGAGGTCAGGTGTGCCAAACGCCTGGCCCAGGTGAAACCTGTCTCCCCCATTCTCCAAGTACTAACCATGAACACCCCCTAGCCCTTTTAGACTTACTCGAGTTCTTGTAAGTCTCCCATCAACCGTTTTGTTCATTCACACCCAGCTGTTGAAGTGCTTACCCTGCCACTGTTAAATTGGAGGACAGAAGACAGAGTTTCTTCACCCGACTCAGCTGTCAGAACTTTGGGGGTCCATATGTGTTGTCTCATTCTTCACCATCCTAAAATTAAGTTGAAGATCCCTCAAAGTCCTTAAAGCCATGCGCACTGTACCACCCGAACACAGTACTTCATACCTTTATATAAAATGTCTGCTTTATTAGATATGACAGGGTCATATCTAATCTCCCACTTCAGTCACCCTTTCCTTTAACCCTAAACCCACATTGAGGCAGAAAGTTTTAAACTCCTCTTTTTCCTAGGATTTTGGAAACACTGAGACAAATTTTAACACAGCCCATTTTACTGCCCGCTGCCCAAGGGATATAGAATACTCAAGGGGTGGGAGGCTGGGTGGGGCTTCTCCCTTTATCTGCCCCTTACCCCAGATACAGAAAAAAAAGAATGTGGAAACAGTGGTTTTACCTACTTTCCTGTACCCCTTGACCCTTTGTGCCCTGATCAACTATGTAAAGATTATCACAATAAAATAATTTTTAAAAGAATAATAATAATAAAAAAGAATACTCAAAGAGAAAGATGTAGATTCCTACTTGGGGCTGATGTTATGGTGTAGTGGGTTAAGCTATTGCTTACAAGCAACCAACATCTAAGTACCAATTCAGGTCTCAGCTGTTCTACTTCAGATCCAGCTTCTTGCTAATGTGCCTAGGAAAGCAGCTGAGGATGGCCCAAGACCTCGAGCCCTGAGACCCATGTGGCAGTCCCTGAAGAAACTCATGGCTCCAGACTTCAGCCTAGCCCAGACCTGGCTGTTGTGGTCATTTAGGGAGTGAATGAGCAGATAGAAATTGTCTCTGTTCTCCCTTTCACTCTGCTTTTCAAATTAAACAAAATTTAAAGATACAAAGTTATTATTTGAAATATTCATCACTACCAACCCAATATTCATCATTCCGCAGCTTTCCTCCTGAGAGCACACAACACACTGCAGTGTCTTCATTGTCGTTCTAATTACTGCAGGATCTGCCCTACTTAAAATTGTTAAGAGCCACTTCCAGGAACCATGCACTACCCCTCTATCTCAGGAAGCCTGCCATAACTTGGGTTTTATGGAAGAGGAAACTAGATGTAGACAGTATGGCAGATATACTGTTTGCATTGCTGCCCATTATACCCAACAATCAAGTCAATGCTGTGAGAATCTGCAGGCTGTACCACCACATGAATTAAGTAAAATGTTTTCTTGGAGGCTTATTGCTGTGTCAGCCTCCCAGTTCCATTTTTCCTCACATGGGACCACTTTATGGCATACGCTGCGTTTTCTGCAAATTTAGAATGTCACAGTGTTTTTCAGAACAAAGTTAAGCAGATGTCAGATACTGGCATCATGTGCTCCAGCATGGGCTTCATGATAAGCCAGGTAGGCTATGCCTTCTATTTTTTTTCTTTTTGAAGATTTTTTATTTCTTTATTGGAAAGTCAGATATACAGAGAGGAGGAGACATAGAAAGGAAGATCTTCCGTCCGATAATTCACTCCCCAAGTGACCGCAACGGCCGATGCTATGCCGGTCCGGAGCCAGGATCCAGGAACTTCTTCCCGGTCTCCCAAACGGGTGCAGGGTCCCAAGGCTTTGGGCCGTCCTCAACTGCTTTCCCAGACCACAAGCAGGGAGCTGGATGGGAAGCGGAGCTGCCGGGATTAGAACCAGTGCCCATATGGGATCCCGGGTGTTCAAGGCAAGGACTTAAGCCACTAGGCCATGCCGCTGGGCCCTAGACTATGCCTTCTAACTGGTACCTGGCCAGGCACAGTGCTGCCCAAGCCACTATGCCCAGTGTGAGCCTGGCAGGGAAGAGAAAGGTAGCAGGAGCTATCACATTGGCAATTCCCATGACATTCAAAAAGACTCTGCGGATGCAATTCTCCCTGCAACAGTGGTTTCTGCACTTGCATAAAGCAGTACAATCCATTCTAAAATTGTATCCAAGCCCCCAAACTGTATGAAGTATAAAATTCATAAATACTCATGTTTCCTCCAACACTAGGTAGTACTAGCATTCTCCAAACACATTGAACAGTCCTGATCTTAACATTTATTTACTTATTTAAAAAGACTTATTTATTTTTATTTGAAAGGCAGATTTACAGATGTGAGAGAAAAGGTGTTCCATCTGCTGGTTTACTCCCTAAGTTCCCCCAATGGCTAGAACTGAGTTGATTTGAAGCCAGGAGCCTCTTTCAGGTCTCCAACGTGGGTGCAGGATCCCCAGGACTTGGGTCATCCTCCACTACCTTTCCAGACCATAGGAAGGGAGCTGGATGGGAAGTGGAACTGCCAGCACACCAACTGGTGCCTATCATGGGATGCTGGTGCCACAGGGTGGCAGATTAGTGAGTTGTACCATGGCACCAGCCCAAGATTTATTTTTATTGGAAAGGCAGAGTTACAGAGCAAGGAGAGACACAGAGAGAGGTTTTCCACCCTTGGGTTCATTCTCTAAATGGATGCAATAGCTGGAACTGAGCCAATCCAAAGCCAGGAGCTTCCTCTGGCTCCCCCACGGCTTTGGGCCATCCTCCTCTGCTTTCCCAGGCCACAAGCAGGGAGCAGGATAGGAAGTGGAGCAGCCAGAATATGAACAGGGGCCTGTGCAAGATGCTGGTATCACAGCTCAATCATGGTCTCCCATGTGTGCAGCAGGAACCTAATCACTTGAGCTATCACCACTGCCTCCCTAGATCTGCTGGTAGGAGGCTAGAGTCAAGAGCCAGTGCTAGGTCTTGAACCAGGTACTCCCACAAGTGACATGGGGGTTTTAATCACTAAGCTTAACACACACATATTCTAATATATATAAATATATTAATATATATTTAAAATTTTATTTATTTTTATTGGAAAGGCAGATATACAGAGGAGGAGAGACAGAGAGGAAGATCTTCTGTCCGATGATTCACTCCCCAAGTGACCACAACGGTGGGTGCTATGCCGATCCGGAGCCAGGAGCCAGGAACTTCTTCCAAGTCTCCCATGTGGGTACAGGGTCCCAAGACTTTGAGCTGTCCTCAACTGCTTTCCCAGGCCACAAGCAGGGAGCTGGATGGGAAGTGGAGCTGCCAGGATTAGAACCGGTGCCCATATGGGATCCCAGCACATTCAATGTGAGGACCAATGTGAGGACTTTAACCACTAGGCCAGCGTGCCAGGCCCTAAATATATTTTTGAATGTATTTATTTTTGTTGAAAGGTCAGATATACAGAGAGGAGAGACAGAAAGATCTTCCATCTGTTGATTCACTCCTCAAGTGGTCGCAATGGCTGGAGCTGAGCTTATCCAGAGCCAGGAGCTTCTTCCTGGTCTCCCACATGGACACAGGGACTCAAGACTTTGGGCTGTCCTTGACTGCTTTCCCAGGCCACAAGCAGGGAGCTGGTTGGGAAGCAGGCCACTGGGATTAGAACCGGCGGCCATATGGGATCCCAGCGGCACTTGCAAGGCGAGAACTTTAACCACTATGCTATCACACCAAGCCCCAGACTTGATTCTTGTGTGTGTGTGCCAGTACAGGGTCCAACACTATCCATCACCCCATTCAGCTTATGCACATGCTGGTTGTTGCAGTTGCTGGGTCAGTTCTGTTTCCAGCCCTGTCTTCCACATGAACTGGTGGGTGTTGCAGTCCAGCCCAATCCTGCCCACTGCATACTCAGCCCTCATGCAAACTAGTGGGAGCTGCAGCCTAGTCAGGGCAACTCCTCATAACACCCACCAGTCCTGCCCCCTACCCTGGTTCCCATGCTTACCAGTATGTACCACAGACTTGTTCAGTCTGTCCCACATCTCATTTAGCTCTAGTACATGTCATTGGGCATTGAAGCCTAGTGCAACCCAAACTGCCTTATTATCCAGCCCACACACATACTGGCAGGTGCTATTCTCTGTCTAGCCACCCCTGCTCCAATCCTGGTTTTCGTGTTCTCCAGTGGGAGTGGTAACCCAAGAGGGAGGAGTCCACTATTTCCCTCCGAGGCCACTCCCACTCCTGGATTATATACTCTCCAGGTAGTTCTGCAGTTTAACTTGACAGATTTAGCCCTCAGTGCCAGCCTCTGCCACCTGATGATGTGGCAAAGCCCAACCAACCCTCACCCACTCTAAGTTTTTGCTTGCACCAGTCGGAACAGTCAGCCCAATCTGGCCCTTCCCCAATCTAGCTCACATGAGGCCCACAGATGTTGTAGCCCTGCCAGATCTGGTCTGCCCACATCCCAACTCATGCTCTCCAGTGGGAGTGGCAGTCCAGCAGGGGAGCCCTCCACATTCCCCCTACCAGCTTTGTGTCCCTCCCCCCCCTCCGGTTCTCATGTGTGCTGGTTGGTTGCTGCGACCCTGTCTGGCATGGCCCCCTTCACCTTGGCACTTGCCGGTGGGTTTTGTAGCCTGGCCTGGCCCACCCTCAATTACAGCTGATGCTGGTGAGGGTTATAACCTAGCCCAGCCAAGCAGGCATCCAATCCCAGCTGTAATGTGCACTGGTATGTGTTGCAACCATATCTGGCCCTACCTATACTCTGTTCTGGCACTCAGATTCGCCAGCGGGTGATGTGAACTGGTTTAGCCTGGTCTGCCCCAAACCTATGCCAAATGTATGCCAGTGGGTACCTTTCCCTGGCCTGGTCTGGGATGCTCCCTATCATGGTTCTTGCACTATCATGCAGGGACTGTGTCCTGCCAAAGGAGTGCCTAGGCTCCTCCATCAGAACCTCTCCCAGTACCAGATTTCATGCATACTGGTGGGTCCATGGGACAGCCCTACTTAGTCCACTTCCTGTCCTGGCAGTAACAGAAGTCTTTCCTGACCGACCTTCAACCCATTCCAGTTCCTACTGTTGGATGTTTCAGCCCAGCCGAGGCTCATCCAGACCCACACACTGCTTACACATGGCTCAGTAGGGGCAGAGAACTAGCCTAGTCCATCCTACATCTACCGTGGTCCTCCAGAGCACCAGATGGTGCTGGGGTCTAGCCCAGTTAGGTGCATCCAATCCCAGTCTGTCTACACTTGTGCCAAGGGAGACTGCAGCCATGTCCAGACCAGAATACAGCTCCTCGCAACTCCAGTCCCCACACTCACCAATGTGTCTTCTTAGCTCCCCAATTAGGCCTGTTTCCAGCCAGACTGTGTGCATACCAGTGGTTGCTCTGACTCAGGTTGGCATAGCCCCTCACCTGTCTTGGCCTTTGCCGTAGATGCTGTGTCCTAGCATCCCTGGCTCATGCAGACCAGTCAGTGTAACAGCTTAGCTTGGCATGACCTGTGCTCCATTCTGATTTCTGTTCTTCCTTGTGAGTTAACGTTTGCTTAGCCCTGCCAAGTCTACCCCCTTCCAGTAGCAGCCTGGTCCACCCCACATCCTGTTCTAGGATGCACATTCAGGTGCTACTTCCTTGACCGCCCAGACTTTTGTTGATTCCTTTACCTGTAAGTGATGGCAGGTTCCATGGTCACATCTAGCTCAGCCTATCACCACCCCAACTCGCGAGCTAACCAACGGAACTTGTATTTCCACAGGGTTGGGCCCACACTTCCCCAGAGAATCTACCCCCAGATCTGGTTCTCTCGCATGTTGGTTAGTGTTCTAACCCTCCCAAGTGTGACCCATCCCCTGTTCTACCACTCACTCAGGTACCTAGCCCTGCCAGACAGGCCCCCAGCCATAGCTTTCGTGTGCACTGGTGTCTGGCAGTCAGTGATGCTCTATGCTAACAGGCCATCTCAGGATTCCTATGTGGGCTGGTGAATCAGTCTGGCCCAAGTAAAATTTTGTTTTTATTTGAATGGCAGAGAGATCTTCCATCCACTGGTTCATTCCTCATATGCTGGCAATAGCCAGGGGCTGGAGCAGGCTACAGCCAGGAACAAGGTTGCGATTCCTGGAAGATGAAGGGTAACAGGTGAAGGGTCGCTCAAACATACAGAGGAACTCAGGTATAACTAGCAAGAAGATAATCTGAAAATAGCGAGAGCAGGTGTTTCAGAAAAGAAGTGTGGTGAGAGGCTATCCCTATGGTCTCTAAGCCCTGAAAAGGCAGGGCGAGCTACAGCTGGGAGCTTCCTGGAGCTGGTTACAGTTTATAAAAGGACTAGCTGACTGCTTTGGAGGAGAAAGCTGGGCTGCAAAGATAAGAGCAGGAGGCCTTGGCCCTGTGTGGATGGAGGAGGAGGGGGCTCCCTGAGAGAGGCTGAGCTATTGGGAGAGACAAAAGCTGGGGGCAGGGCCTAACCTTTGTTCCTGCTACCTTCTGCACAAGCTTAGCACCAAGGGGAGGGAACCCTGCCTGGGCTAGATCTTTGACTTGTATCATCCTATTGCGAAGCAGAAAGCCCACAAGATATCTGATGTGGGCTTGGGCGTGAAGGACTGTCACTCCTCTCCTCACAACACCCCACCACCAAGAAGAGAAAGTGGAAAAGGGAGTTGAGGGCTGGATAGAATCCAGTGCTGTGCCACCTCCACAGTCATCACTGTTCTCGCCACTTTCAGGAGCCTAAAAGGTTAGTCACAGTTATGCGATGACTGCTTTTGGTTTGGGTGGCTGAATCTTCACTTGATGACTCTTGTATGACAGTTGGGAGAGTTTCCTGAAATGAGTTTGAATTAGAAAGATAAAGGCTCTAGGTGCCAGGATCTGGCCCAGCGGTCAAGGCCTGGCTCAGGACAGCCACAGTTCACATCTGAGAGCCCGAGTTCCAGTCCCAGCTCTACTCCCTGCACCTGGGAGGCAGCAGGTGCTCCAGCACTTGGGATCTTGCTTCCCTCATGGGAGACCTGGATCAAATGTCTGACTCCTGACTTTGACTTAGCACAGCCTTGGCTTTTGAGGAGTAAATCAGCAGAAGGGGCTCTTTCTCCCTCTTTGCCTCTCCAATAGTTAATACAAATCAAACAAACAAGTAAAGGCTCTAAAAGGATGCCTTTTCCTTCTTACCCTCTCAAGACAGATTTTTCAGTGACAATACTAAGCACATGATACGAGGTGGTTTTTTTTTTAAAGATTTATTTATTTATTGCAAAGTCAGATATATACAGAGAGAAGAGACAGAAAGGAAGATCTTCCATCCAATGATTCACTCCCCAAGTGACCACAACAGCCGGAGCCAGGATCCAGGAACTTTTTCCGGGTATCCCACGTGGGTGCAGGGTCCCAAAGCTTTGGGCTGTCCTCAATTGCTTTCCCAGGCCACAAGCAGGCAGCTGGATGGGAAGTGGAGCAACCAGGATTAGAACCGGCAGCCATATGGGATCCCAGCGCGTTCAAGGCAAGGACTTTAGGCGCTAGGCCACTGCGCCGGGCCCCGAGGTGGTTTAATGTCTGAACTTCTCACACAGAAAATGGAGGTTACACAGCATGATGATTTTTTTTTATCAATAGTATAATTTTTTTTTAAGATTTATTTTTATTATTTTTTTATTGGAAAGGCGGATATACAGAGAGGAGAGACAGAGAGGAAGATCTTCCATCCGATGATTCACTCCCCAAGTGACCGCAACAGCCGATGCCATGCTGATCTGAAGCCAGGAGCCTCTTCCGGGTCTCCCACGCGGGTGCAGGGTCCCAAAGCTTTGGGCCGTCCTCGACTGCTTTCCCGGGCCACAGGCAGGGAGCTGGAAGGGAAGCGGGGCTGCCGGGATAGAACCGGCGCCCATATGGATCCCGGGTGTGCAAGGCGAGGACCTTAACCACTGTGCCACCATGCCGGGCCCCTAGCATGATGTTGTTTTTTTTTTTATTGTTATTAACATTGTATTATGTGATACAGTTTTATAGGCACTGGGGATTCCCCCCCCCCCATATCCCTCCCCCCATAGTGGATTCCTCCACCTTGCTGTATGACCACAGTTCAAGTTCAGTTGAGATTCCTTCATTGCAAGCATATACCTAGCATAAAGTCCAGCTAGCATGATGATTTTATGAGGTTGAGAAAACTCAGAGAACTTGTTGAAGCACTTTGAAAGGTAGTTCATGGCACACACAGAAGGCTGTTTGGTGTCCAGGGGTTTGGAAGCTGTGGAGCCCAGGGTGCTAATGAAGGCGCTGCAGTGACTGAGCACTTTGTCTTCCTATTACAGCTTTCCCTGGAGGGCACGCGTCAGAAAGCACCATGCCTCCCAATAAAGAGGCCGGCAGTCTTCACAGCTCCACAGCGGGTCTCATCTGCCTGCCTCCCATCTCTGAGGAGCTGCAGCTTGTGTGGACACAGGCAGCTCAGACCAGTGAGCTGGATAGCAACGAACACCTGCTACAGACCTTCAGCTACTTCCCCTATCCCAGCCTGGCAGACATCGCCCTGCTCTGCCTTCGTTACGGGCTGCAGATGGAGAAGGTCAAGACTTGGTTCATGGCCCAGCGCCTGCGCTGTGGCATCAGCTGGTCATCTGAAGAGATCGAAGAGACTCGGGCCCGAGTGGTCTATCATCGGGACCAACTCCATTTCAAATCCCTTCTCTCTTTTACTCACCACGCAGGGCGGCCCCCAGAGGAGGTTGCTCCTCTTGCAGTGCCACATCCAGAGCAAGCTGGTCTTGGAACAGGTCCTCTGACTCCCAGCGTGCCTACTCAGGTGAAAGGATTAAAAGTGGAGCCAGAGGAGCCCTCTCAGATAACACCATTGCCACGAAGTCACCAGAAAGCCAAGGAGCCCCTGCCAGCACCGGCAAGTGGGGCATTTGCCCATCGGTCAGATGCTTGGCATGAACTTCAAAGCAGTGGCCTGTGTAAGGAGCAGGCAGGTAGGGGGCCTGAGCCATCACACGGTGCAGGGACTGCCTCCTGGAACCACTCCCGGGCTGTCCACCAGCCCCATGCCGGGGATAAGCCTCCACCCATCTCATTACTTGCCAGTAGCTGTAAGGAGGAGTCAGCATCTAGCACGACTCCGCCTCCTCCTCCTACCTCTTCTTCCTCTTACCAAGTCCTGGCTCATGGAGCCACTGCCACCTCTAAACCCCTGCAGCGACAGTCGTTGTCGCCCAGTGAACAGGCACTACCCCCTCATCTGGAGCCAGCCTGGCCCCAAGGGCTAAGGCATCATCACTCAGCGTCAGGTAGGGTCGGTGCCATGGAGTATCTCTCCCCAGATATGCAGCGCCAGCGGAAGCCAAAACGTAAAACCAAAGAGCAGCTGGCAATCCTCAAGTCCTTTTTCTTACAGTGCCAATGGGCACGGCGTGAGGATTACCATAAACTAGAGCAGATGACCGGTTTACCTCGTCCTGAGATCATTCAGTGGTTTGGAGACACACGTTATGCCTTGAAGCATGGGCAACTAAAATGGTTCCGGGACAATGCAGTACCTGGGGCCCCTGCTTTTCAAGACTCAGCCAATCGCACCCCACCCCCATCAACCCGCTCGCTGAGTGAATGGGCAGAGACGCCGCCTCTGCCGGTCCCCCCGCCCCCACCGGATATACGACCCCTGGAGAGATACTGGGCAGCCCACCAGCAGCTGCGAGAGACCGACATCCCTCAACTGAGTCAGGCATCAAGGCTTAGTGCCCAACAGATACGGGACTGGTTTGATTCTCGATTACCTGAGCCAGCTGAGGTGGTAGTTAGTCTAGATGAAGAGGAAGAGGAAGAAGAAGAGGAAGACTTGCCAGAAGATGGTGAGGAAGAAGAGGAGGAGGAAGATGATGATGAGGATGAGGATGATGTGATCATACAGGACTAAGTGGGGGACCAAGGGAGGACTGGTCTGGAGGTTGGAGACAATTTAGCAACTGTTTAAAACAAAAGAAACCAAAATTTTAAAAAAAATTATCTTGTGGCAAAGAACTACAAACCTCCGTGTTCTTCAGGGTGGGTGATGGGGGCTGTGGTGCTCACGGGCCGGGAGGATGGCTGGAGGACACAGAGGACATACAGGCTCAAGCCTCAAGGTGACAAGTACTAAGGATCTGGGCAGATGATGGGCTGGGAACTGGCTCTTCTTTCTCTTGTATCTGCTGGGTTTTTTGTTTGTTTCACCTAAGTACACAGGAGGAGGACTGGAAAGGAGGAGTAGAGAATTCAGATACAGTGGCTTCCAGGGCATCCCGCAGCCCCCTTTCTTTCCCTTAGACATTCAGGCCGCCTTGCACTCCTTTTCTCTGAGTGTAACTCCATGCATCAAACAACTAAGACTCTCAAGATACATGCCACTCTCATCACAAATAATTCCTCGTTGTGTTCCCCACTTGACCTTTATGAGTTTCACCTGCTTCATCAGTGAATCACACAGTAGCAGAATGTTCTCATTTCTGACACTGGGACCACTTGGCCTTATACTTTTGACCTCTTTCCAAAATCACCTCTCCTCTGTCTGTCTCAGGGTAAATCTGCCCACACAGAGTTTGTGATACAGTGTAATAATTGTGTGGAGGATAATTTTGACTGGATATTTATTGAAGGGAGTTATGAGAGATGTCCTTTTAAAATGTAAAATTATAAGGGTTGGGAAGGGACTGTTTCTTCTAGTCAAACGGTGGTAAACATAGGTTCAAGGTTTGGTTTTACAAACCAGGCACTATTTCCTGTCCAGCTCAACTGACACTGGATTTTCCTCTTTCTGCCACTGGGTCAGCTTTTACCCAGAAGAGACTTTTTGTACTCTTTAAAGGAACTTCTGGGAGACAAAGGTACCATTGTTTTCCCATGGAATTGCTGCTCTTTTAGAATGGTTTTCATCAGTTGGATTCATATATAAACAAACAGATATCTAAAAACAAGAGTGCAAAACCCAGATGGCTAGAGTAATAAAAGGCCAAAAAATAAAATTGTTTTTCTCTTCTCCAGTTTGCCACTTCTATGGTTTAGGGATGAATGGGACCAATTTCATTCGTGTTTTTATAAGGTAATTTTAATTTAATAAGGTGAATTTAATAACAACTTTAAAAGGTAGCAGATTAGTGTTTGTCTCTTTGACAGTTTGCTTTTCAGTCACCGACAATGATTGGAATGTCTGAGGCATCACAATGACCGAACAGTCTGGAGGTGACTCCACTTGGCCATTCCACTGTTCAACAGCTTGTAATCACAATAGGGTTGCAGTAGTCAGTAAAAAAACATCTAAAATGGTTCCAGGACAATTTATCTATATATTTCAGTAAGCTGAAAGCATGTCTCCAACTGTTCTTTTAACCAAGGAAAATCAACATATGTCATAGTAAGTAGGCATGGAAGAAAGAGTCTGTAAATAGAAAAAGTATAACCCACAAAGACAAGGGCCAGAAGTGTGGCTTATTACCCTGGCAGTGGGACAATATAAAGCTAACAAATGAAATATGGTTGATGCGTGTACTAACCCCATTCCACTCCACCGCAGCTCCAGCATGATGGCAAGAATAATAACTTTTCCTGCAACTTACAGGAAATGAAGGGAGCTACATGATGTCTTCTGGCAATGATGCAAACATTGTCCTGAAGCCTGAGGCCTTAAAACCTGATCAGTTTCCTGCAAGGTAACACAGGGTGTGCAGGTAGGTCAAGACTGGGAGATTAAGATGGAGTGTAAAACCAGGAAATAAAGCCAGAGTCTGTTGTTTGAGGCCACTTCCCAATGGGTACAGATGCTACAGTCCACCCTTCAGCAGCACTGAGGCCAGACCTGGAAGGTGGTCTACCGGGGAGTGGTCCATGCTTCGTTGCCCCTTGCTACTCCCATCTGCCTCTGTTGGTAGAGTGTCTGCAGCAGAGAACAGGAAAGCAGGTGTGAGTGTCGATGACAACCAAAGCCACAAGTCCCTCTCACATCATATGACGTCATCAAGATGGGAACCACCACTGATGCTTCCCCACAGCTTCCTCTAACACATGACAGTGCCCATTTCCAAACTAAGATTTGCTCTCTCAGGTAACTAAAGCCTTGTTGCAGGTCAAGTGAGACTTAGTTTTTGACACTAAGGTTGAATATTTGAAAAACTGAAGCTGTTTAGCTGCTTTTGGAAGATCTGGAGTGACCACCACACCTGGAGATGATGGTTACCATGGAGATGGAATCCTAATTCCTCAGAGGAGCTGGCACTCCATTTAATAACTACTTGTCATGGAAATTTCAAAGATGTGAACACAGAACTCTAACAACTATCATCTAACTTTAACAAGTAACTTGCAGCTAATCATATAATTTCCCACCTTGAAATACTTCAAGATATGTGTACAAAAGACAAAGGCTATCTTTAGAAGAAAAAATCACTATCATTGCATCTAAAAAACAATATTAGGAATGCTTTAATATCCAATGTTCAATAGCTAGATAACCCAATTTTCCTCAAGTGTCTAAAGGAGGTTTAGCTTTAATTTTGTTTTGTCCTGGTATTGTTACAGCTTGTTGCAGTCAAGACACCACTGGGGGCCATTTATGTGTGGACAATTCCTGGGTGTCTCTGAAGCCTGTGTTTACCTGTAAGTCGATCCCTCCACTTGTGAGAACCTTAGGGAGGGATGTTTTCTCCTTAGTGTTGGTGCTTGAGGTTTTGGATTTTATTTCTTGCTGATGAAAATAAAGGACATTTTGGAATATGGGGCAACAGATTTATCCACTTGAGTATGAAAGAGCTCTTCTTGGGGTCACCAGGAGCCTGGGGCAGAGTAAAGGGCCCACTCATCCTCCAAATTCAAGTCAGATACAGGCGGGGCTGGGCTTCCCACGTGACAGCTCCCAGCCTTGCCTCACTATGTGGTTTTTTTTCTCTTTTTTGCCTGGATCAGAATGATAGTCCCATGAAGCAGCATTCTAGCTATCTCTGGAGAATTCCATATGATTTACCCTAGCTCAAACAAACTCCACTGAAAACATACATTTAGTTGAGATTCTTGGCTGTGGTGCCACTGGCAGAGTCCATAAGTCCACACTTATTTTACACTTATTTTACTTCAAACTCCAGTTAACTAGGAAGATGGCATGATAGGAGAAATGTAATCTTTGAAACTGAGGTCATTCTGGAAAACTGAACACACATGTTCACTAAGTCTGCCACCCGAATCTGAGACCAGAAGGAAATATAGAAGGTGCAGGTTAAACCATGTGAGTGCTTATATTCCAGGCCTCAGCCTTACCTGCAGGGCTGGTAGCTGGAAACCAGGAAGGCTCTCCAGTGTGATTCTGCGCTCTCTGGGACCTGAAAGATGCGATAGAATGGTGAGAGGTCACTTCAACATTTCTCAGCATTTGTACTTATGGGTCAGGTAGTTCTTAAGGGATATTAAGGGAAGACTTTTGGATAATCAATATCAGATGGGTTAAAGCCCATTCTGCTGTTAGTATGGAGTGCTGACAAAGCGCACAGATGCAGAGGCAACAGAAAGAGGAAAATGATGGCTCCTTATCAAGGGCTGCTGGTAGAACCCTCCGAAATGAGCTCAAGGTATGTTCAACACAGTGACTCTCTCTCTCTCTCTCTCTTTTTTTTTTTTTTTTGTAAAAAGCTTAATCCTGTAGGCTAACCTGGCTAAGTAATAGACTTTATTGGGTAACAGGCTATTGACGAAAATCCAGAACTTCCTTTCACTATGAAGGAAACTAGATAACTTTTATTAAGGAACTGAACCAGAGTCAGTGCTTTTTGAGGGGCCAGTCCCAACTTCTTGTCACCTTGAGAATCCTCATTCAAGGGCTGACATTCCTCCTTGGGGAATGTTATTTAACTCACCAGCACTGTTGGGAGTGAGGACTCTGAAGGGACCTGCATCCTCATTTAGGGATGATCTGAAAGGAAAAATCGCCTGTCCAGAAGAGGCAGATGAAGGCCTAAGGAGCAGGAATAAGAGCATCAGTAAAGGAAAAGCTCCAGAGAGAAAAAAAATCCCCTGCTGAGAATCAAATTTAGTAATTCCTATGTTCCTTCAACCCAGTTCTACCTAAGCTGCTCCCTTTTTTCATAGAGCAGATTAGGTACAGACCAGTAAGAAGTGGCCCTAACAGGACAGGGCAAGTGTCAGTGTGAAGGGATCCTAGGATTACTCACCTGTAAGACAGACTGTGGGAGGAAGCCGGTGAAGGGGTCTCTGCAAAGCGTAAAAATGAATTTATGAGTTTCCAGTGTCCTAGGGGCTGGAGTGAAGGACACGGAGCTCATAGACTCTTGGTGCCCGTGCTAGGCTTGGGACTAGCAATAAGTGAAAAGGCTCCTAGATCACGACTTCTAAAGGTACTTTCCCCTCCACCTGCTTAAATTGGTGGGCCAAGACCCACTGCAGCCTTGATGAGTCCAGTGTCCTTGGAACGCCCCCTTCACATAGATCACCAGAAAGGAGCTAAAGATAGTTCACTGCATTGCCTAACCAGGGATACTAGCAAAGATCAAAACAACAACAAAAATGGTGGAACAAAGCCTCCAAAAATTCTCTTTCATTCTCTTTCAGTTTCAGAACTCTGGATATCAGCCTAGGGCTTGTAGCAATGTGGAAATGGTTTTCAAAACAAAAGGCCAAATGATGGTCAAAATAATAATAAATTGCCATTTCCCCTCCAGTTCCATGATAATATTGAAGACTAGTATGCTGCTATAATCATGGCAATCACAAAAATGTGCAGTGTTCACTGGAGTTTTTAAAAGTGTCTGTTGGAGAACTGACATTTGATTTGCAAGGCTGTCATTCATTGATATGACCTGAGATTGAAGCTTACCAAGACTTGGAGCTCGGAGTTCATAAAGTATGGAAAAGCTTTTATTCTTTGGTGAAAATAATTTGAGGCAATTGTTTTGGCTGCTTGAGGAGATAACTATCAAATGGGGCAACAGGCTAGCCAAATCTAGGCTAACCTAAAATGATACAAATATTAATGTAAAAACTGTGGTATGAGATGTCCATGAGGGCTTTAAAAAGTTCTAAGATTTGGGTGGATGTGTGGCACAGCAGGTTAAGCCAGCACTTAGGATGCTCATATCCCATATCAGAGTTCCAGGTCAATCCTGGCTCATCTGTTTCCAATCCTACTTCCTGCTAATGTGCAAAGAAGTGGCAGATAATGGCTTAAGTATTTTACACTCCTGCCACAAATGTAGGAGACCTGAAGGACATTCCCAGCTTCAGTGAGGCCCCAAACAGGCTGTTGTAGGTATTTGGAGAACGAACCAGCAGTTGGAAGATCTCTCTGTATGTCACTCTGCCTTTGAAATAAAATATCTTTAAGATTTTTATTGGAAAGGCAGATTTACAGAGAGAAGGCGATACAGAAGAATCTTCCATCTGGTGGTTCACTCCCCAAATGGGCTAGAGCTGACCTGATCCAAAGCCAGGAGCCAGGAAATTTTTCCAGGTCTCCCATGTGGGTGCAGGGTCATAAGGCATTGAGTTATCTCTGCTACTTTCCCATGCCATAAGCAGGGAGCTGGATAGAAAATGGAGTACTGGAAAATGAACCAGCATTCATGCGGAATCTGATGCTAGGAGGTGGAAGATTTGCCAGTTGAACCAACAAACCAGCCCCAAGCCACTCCATTTGCAATCCAGCTCCATGCTAGTGGCCAATAGTTCAGGGACTGGATCCTGCGCCTGTGTGGGAAACCTGGAAGAAGCTCCTGGCTCCTGATTGGCTCAGCCCTGCCACTGTAGCCATTTGGGGAGTGAACAAGTAGATGGAAGATCTTTATCTCTCCTTTTCTGTAAAATTGGCCTTTCTAATAAAAAGAAATAAAATCTTAGAAAATAAAGTAAAAATTTAAAAAGAAAAAACCTAAGTAGCTGGACCCCCCCATATCCATGTGGGACATTGGGCTGGAGCTCCTGTCTCCTAGCTTTGGCATTGGTATGATTCTACCACAGGCCCCTGTCTTTAGCCTTCTCTT